AAAAAATAAAAACAACACAATACAAAAAAAAATAAACCGCGCCCATACGCAAAGATTCAGCGCCCCGCCAGGCGGGCTGGCTGGGGAATTCTGGGAGTTGAAGTCCACGCATCTTAAAGTTGCTGAGGTTGAGGAACCCTGGTCTAGACCAAGATGAGAAACAGTTAAGGAACACTACAACCTCTATGATATCATCAATATTTGGGATCTATTAACACATAGTTTCTTATCTTTGTTATAGAAACACATCATATTTCATTCACTTCGGTCAGGAAAGAATACACTTTTTCTTCCTCAGTTAGGTACATTTTTCTGGAAATGAGCACGCATTTAGTCATGGATCTCAAATGTGTGAAGAAATTACAGAGCTGTGTTAACAACGGGAATATTACGTGGCTTAAATGGATCTAGGCTTGAATTCTAATCTTGGCTTCATAAGCACTTGGTTTCAGTTTCTTCTGCCCTCAGATTGCAAAGTTTCAGAGCCTATATAGCCCAGAGTGATATGCAAATTGAATTGACTGAGCAAAGGAAAAGAAGGAACTCAAATGTAGCATTATAAGCTAGTAGGATGTTTGCATGCAATCACTTTGCTTTATTTGCAAAATGTTATTAGATCAAAATGGTTACAGTATGTCCTTCATGTGAAACCCTCTAATCTTTACATACAGTTATTCCCTCATTTTTGTTTCCAGATAAAATATTTCAAGGAGGAAAAGATGGAATTGTACAGGTACCTTCTGATGGGAGCCCTCCATCTGGAATCACTTATATTGTGTTAACTTTCTCCATGGCTGGTAGCTGAGTCTGTCTGTATTTCCTACCACCAGGCACTTTCTGCATTTACTGATTATTTTGTTCGTGAACTCAGCTCCAGGACAGTCTCTATGAAGCTATATCATTAAACTGAAATAAGCATTCTTTCACTCAATGGGGCAAACTTTTATGCCAACACCTTATAGGAATATCCTATTCCAGACTTAAAGTTAAGTGGTATGTTTTATTAGACCAACAGCTTAGTCCAATAAACAATGTGCAAGCATTCATATCATACAGAATTCTCGCTTAGAATCGTCTGCTAATTGAAATGTTCTGTGAAACAGGAATCTTAACACACAGGCTCTGAACAAGATGCAAATTAAAACAATTTGACAGTTAATAAAAATACTGAGATTCAACAGAAAAGCATAAATCTCTAATATCAGTGCTAGAAAAAATAAATGAAACACAACCCAAACCTAATTCTTGAAAACAAAACGATATATCAATCCAGCTTCAGCTGAACCTTCGCAAAGTTAATATTGTACAATTATTTGATATATATAATCTGTAGCAGAATTAATTATGTAAAAGTATTACACGTATGTATTACATTGCTCTTTATTAGCACAACTGATTCTTATGTGCCAAGATTTTGTCAGGAAAAGATTTGGAATGGCTTACTTACATTGTTTTTATAGGACTGACATGTTATAAAAATGTAATTTTTAAAATCCCATTTATAACCCGCTGAATCAACCACAGACTCTGGCAATTTGCAATAATAAAAAACACTGTGCATAAGAAAGAACATAGTGGATTAAAATACCTAAAGTAAAAGTCAGATTATATTTAAAATAAACTAATCCAAACACGAATAATAATATGAATTCCTAACCCTGCAACCAGACACTTGTACAAAACGTTGGCTCCCAATTCAAAAAAGCTTTGTTTTGCTTGGCGTCTTACCTTCTAGAGATTGTTTTCTGACTGCTAGAGACACCATGAGAGTTACGCAAACAGAAATCACTGCCGCAGCACTGATCAAAGCAGCAACTGCTCCTTTTCTTCCACAAGAACAGTCCATCTTGGAAATCATCATATTTTTGATATGCAAAAGATACTTGGCATCTGTGTTTCAAAAAAGGCACCTTCTTTTCCAGTGTAAGACAAGAAATCAATGGAAGTTGAAAGGGATTTTGAAGGATTACATTCCACCCAGAAACCCTGGTTGATGAAATCAGGATTCAAAACAAAGTAACCAGGATACAGTCAGAGTGAGTCTTTTCTTGATGGAGTCTCTTCTTTAAAATCTAGAATATTTTCTTAGTTATTTGAACAATTTTAATAATAGAGCATTCCCTTGAACAAGTTTCTTGTACTTTCATCCTACTCCAATATTATTTCACTATTGTGCAGTCAGTTTTTCTATGCTTTCTTGAAGAATTACAACATGGTTGAAAATCTTCTGATCACCTGACATTGTCACAGAAAAATTCTTTTTAACAGATGCTCAATTCCTTGCAGGATGTGTTTCCTAGTAATAATAGACCATCATGCTAGAATTAAAAATGAAAAACTTGGAGTAGCCACAGAACATCTTCTCATAAGGAAAACACAAACAAAAATGACTTGTACGCTCTGTGACTCAGAAAGAATGATGCAGAAAGTCCCTCAGGCTATGCCTATATGGAATTTGTGCCCCTCCTTTGTTCCATGTCTATCAGCACATCAGTGTTTTGAGTTTAAAGTCCATTTTTCCAACAACTGCAAATGGAAGATTTTCCTATCAAATATTTGTTACACTGACACCATGCATGTGAAAGTTATGGTTGAGAGTTTACTCCAGACAGCTTTTCAAAACTCCATGTACAAATATTGGGTCCCATCAAATCTTGCAGAAAGAAAATTTTGTCATTTTCAAATGAGCAAGTTAGAAATAATACTGATATTATCACATCTTCATTTTTCCTATCCTTGCCAGCTTAAGAAAACATATTAATCTACAGCTATGTGTACCCTGGGAAATGCAGAGGTTCAAGATCTCATAACAATTGAACTTATCCCACTGTACATACAGGAGACGTGAGGCAAACCTTAGCAAATCTCTATAAAGCCCTTAAGAATCTGTCTGGCTTTGCATATCCCAAGGTGAAGATGGGCTTACAGTTTATATACTGGGCCAGCTCCTCAGCCCACTCTCATTTTTGTCAAGTTAGAACCATGGCAACCAGCTCAAGCTGATCCAGATTGCAATCATACAAGAGCGTCATGGAGGAAGGGTTTTAGGGCACAGCCAGATGACAATATTAAATTGCTATGCTCCAGTTGATCATCTGGCAGAAAAGTATGCCAGCCTAAATTGTCCTGCCCTTATTTCTGCTAATCCCTCTTCTTACACAGAAATGAGGCCAGTGACTGGTGCCTGTCTTTATAGATTTAATATTGGACAAATTAGCTGATGGATTCCTCTGGCTTTATTCCTCCCACCAAGCATCACGTGCCAGCAGAAGAAACCACCGCTTTCCTTAATATGTAGTATGGGGTTGGGTGCTTATAAAGACAGGTTAAGCCACTCTGCTGGCACAGAAGTGCTCCATGGCTGTGACCTACTAGGCTGTTTTTGAAAATGGGTCTAGCATTCTTCTGAGAGCACTAAATTTGTATTCAATGGTAGCCCAGCTGTCAGGTCACAGGCAGAGAGGGAGGTTACATGAAAAAGGAGCATCATGAAAGATCCCACATGCTTCACCTGCTGCATTGACCATGTGCCATCAAGTTGGTGTCAACTCTTAAGGATCACAAAGATAGAACTTGGTTTCTTTGGTTTCCCCCTCCATACGTTCCTGCTGCTTCCCCTTCAGTGAGAGAGAGCTGAATTCTATGATACTTATTTTGAGCTGGTCTAAAAACAAACTTGATCCATTATTAAGCCTAGAGCACTATAGTTATATCCAAGTATATCAGTTATATCCAAGTATATCAGAACCAGTTTTTACTCTGCTATGAATATGCCACATGTTCAGTGAAGTAGATTCTGTAATTATTTTATTTTCCCCTCCCAAAATGTGTTAGTCGCTGTATAGGAATTGTTGTCAGGGTGATATGCTGCAAAAGTAAATAATACAAAACATAATAAAATTATAAATATAATAGCAGCTAAAAATGGAACAAACTTAAAACAATACACACAGCAAAAGGGCAGGACATGTAAGTTCTGGAAAATAAATATGCATTTGGGTAATGAAAATGTATATGGGTCAAAACTGAAAAGGCCCACTCCTTGCCCCACCTTGACATTTAAGCTGGGTTTCTGTTGATGACCACAGGGCTTGGGCAGAAATATAAAAGAGGCATCAGATACTGGTATCTGCACTTGAATTGGACTCCAAAATGAACTGGGAGCCATGGAAAATGATACAATAAGCATACAGCATAGTATGATCACCTTGTCCAGTTCTAATTTCTCGTTAAGCACCTTATTTTGTACTTCCTGAACATTTCTGCGCTGTTTTCCAGATCATTACTGATCTGACCACACTTTTGTTGGGGTGCCAGATTTGTTTTCAATTTACAGTGCACTGACACAATCCCATCCTACAATAAAAGATTTTCCGCATGGTTAACATCATCATCATCATCATTATCATTCCCTTCTCTTTAGTCACAAAGGATCCCAGAGCAAATTTATTGCAATACTCTTCTCTTAAGCTTGTAACATGAAAGATATGACTCACAATGAGAAAGAAACTGGGGGAAAGAATATTAAAAACAAACCCTGGTTCCCTTCTTAAAACTTAGAGGGTCTAGCTAGGAGGAACAATTCAGAAGCTTGAAAAAACGTCTCTCACTTGATAACACCTCAGGAAGATACGGGGTCTCCCAGCAGAGATGATGAAATAGCCCTGCTTCCATTTCCTCCCTCTACTCTATCAGAGCTAAATTGTGGGTGTATGTATCAGCAGGGCTATTGAACAAAGAACAAGTTGATTATTTTAATGCCAATAGAACTGGTGTCTAATACAAGCAGCAACTCATTGCTGGAGACAACATTAATATCCATTAACAATCCAATAATTAGTCCTGTGCCTGCCTGACCCAGTCTTCTCTGCTCTTCTAATATTGCTGTTATTATCAATGATCCAGCAATCGTTAGCTTCACTAATGCACACAAGCTAGAGGAGACAGGCGTAAACTGCAACACATCTTTTTCCTCTGCTGTCACCTAGCCCCTTAATTTATATCACAAGTAGATCTGCATGTGGTGAGGAATGACATCATTTCACCCAATCAGACGGAATGGAAAGGAAGCTTGATCCATGATTGATGGGCTGCAGAGGGCTCCTGAGCAGGTTGGTTTTAATTTATTTTCTAGCCCTCCATGCATCGGCACTGCCAGGCATCCCAAAAGCTCCCTTATGCTGCCATCTTCTGGCAATCATATCGGGACAAGCTACTGGCATGGACCAATTCCCCCGCACGTTGTTCTTTCTAAAAAAAACTCTTTAATACGTTTCTCTCAAGTTCTGAAGCAGAGAGTTCTGCCAAAGGATTAACCTTCATTGTGTGTCTTCCTAATTACCAGATATGAATGATTGCAAATGATAACAGGTCTGTGATAAAGCACATGCTCTCCATGCAGAGGATTCTAGATTCTGTTCTTGGAAGCTCTCCAAAGAACCATGCCTGAAGCAGTTGCAATTCTTTAAAGCATCTGAAAAAAGTTGGGCTTCTTTGACAAATAGAAGAGAGATGTTTCTTTTCACATAAGGTTGGAGCATTTCCTCCAAATCATATTTGAAACATGCACATTCCTAATAACTGAGAAATATTAACATTATTTGATCAAATCCCTACCACGCGACCTGCCTCTTATAAATGACTCCTCATCGATGGAAGAATAGGTAGTGCTACCCAATCTGAGCTGCAAACATTCAGACAACTGCTTTGCTGCCATCTAGTGGCTGTTCAGAGGTTTGCAGCCAGATTGGGAGAAAGCCCCACCACCCTCCAAATATGGTTAACCTATAGCTTTCCATATGCTTCTGAACTCCCAGCAGGCCCAGCCAGAATGGTAGTACAGCAACATTTTAAATTTTCATCTGCAGGGGAAGCATAGGATGGAGGATCAGGGAACTGGATTAGGTTCAAACATCTCCCCACATCCCAGAGCCAAGGAATGCCACATCTGACTTAGAGGAAGTGGAGGAAATATGACTTGAGCATTAGTGGCTTACAGTAGGACTTTTCTCCTCGGTACTTGAAAATTGTCAACTGGAGTCTGAATTTACAGGAGCCAATGCCTTCAGTCCCATTTAGGATGGGGGCAGTGCCTTGTTTTGTTTCTATATTTTGCCTTTTTTCTTACTTCTATTGTAGTTAGAGCCTTAAAAGCTGGAAGTAGCCCAGGTCTTTCTGGATCTCTGAGAGGACCTGCATAATACACCATAGCATACTTATGTGCTACTAGAACAGCATAGCTACTTACAGCGTACAGATTTTCAGGTGAAAAACTCAGCACTTGTGAGTTTAACAGTGCTTCTAGACAAGGTTTTGATTATGTAATTACCCTACGGCATCCACAGAATTTTAGAGAAGACCCAGGTGTTCTTATCCATTTGCAACCCTCTTGAGTTTTCTTAGCATATTTTTTTTAACCAGAAAAAAATTTGTGAAGAAGAGCAAGATGGAATCTCTGCATAATCGTTTTGATTGGTAGCACTTCTGAGTGTTAACTCCCCTATAATATTATGTTCTACTGTTACTATTCACCTTTATACCTGGCCTTTCTCCTGAAATTGAAGGGGGGTTACTCAATGCTTCCCATCCAATGCTGTCCAATTCATAACAATCCTGCTAGGCCGAAGTTGGGTTAAGATTTGTCCCTGTAACTCCTTTGGCCCAAACATACCTGCTCTAGAGAAAGCTGGCTGCTTAAGTGATGCAGAGGTCCCAAAGGATCAAGGCATTTGTTTGAATCAACTAAAGCAGGCTAGCATAGGAGCTGATCCTCAAACAAGCAACTTTTCAATGCATTAGAGAAAAACTTGCATTTTCCAGCCCAGCACGGATGGGGTAACTGGGATGTGTTTTTCTCTATTTTTCCAGTATCTGGCTAATGATTTAAATCAGTGTTTTTCAAACTTGGCAACTTTAAGATGTGTGGACTTCAATTTCCAGAATTCCCCAGCCAGCATGCTGGCTGGGGAATTCTGGAA